AAAAAAAAAAAAAAAATCTCACAAATGTTTTAAAAATATAGATGGCAAAAAATAAAAAGCCTAAAATTTAGGGCAGTGCCTGTGGCTCAAAGGAGAAGGGCGCCGGCCTCATATGCTGGAGGTGGCGGGTTCAAACCCAGCCCTGGCCAAAAACTACCAAAAAACCCCAAATATAGGCAGTGCCTGTTGCTCAGTGGGTAAGGCGCTAGCCACCTACACTGGGGCTGGTGGGTTCGAACCTGCCTGGGCCAGCAAAAACAGCAATGGCCAAAAAAAAAAAAAATGGGCCTTGTGGCGGGCACCTAGCTAGGTGCCTGAAGTCTCAGCTACTTGGGACACTGAGGCAAGAGAATTGCTTAAGCCAGAGAGTTGGAGGGCTGTGAGCTGTGATGCCAGCACAGCACTCTACCCAGGGTGACAGCTTGAGACTGGAATCTCAAAAAATAAATAAATAAATAAATAATAGAAAATAAAAATGTTTACTATATATTAAATGAAAACAATCAGAGTATAAATACCACCCCAATTTTGTGAAGGAAAAAAAAATCTAAAAACTTCCATGTATATTTGTGTATCAGAAAGAGATGAGGGGTAGGTACAGTGACTCATGTCTATAATCCCAGCACTTTGGGAGGCCAAAACAGGAGGATCCCTTGAGACAGGCATTTGAGCCTTCAGTGAGCTATTATTACACCTGTGAATAACCCTTGCACTCTAGCTTGGGTGATATCAAGACCCTTTCTCTAAAAAGAAAGAGAGAGAGAGAGATGAGAATGTTGATATTATTTATCTATAGGTGATAGAACATGGAGGAATCTTATGTTTCTCTTTTTTTCTGTGTATCCCCCAAATGTAATAATCAGCATGTGTTATCATAGACAAAATTTCTATTTTATTTTTTTTTAATTCCAGAAATGCTTTTTTAAATTTTTTAAAGTTTCTATTTTATAGGGGCAGCATCTGTGGCTCAATGAGTAGGGCACTAGGCCCCATATACCGAGAGTGGCGGGTTCAAAGCCAAACTGCAACAAAAAAATAGCCAGGCGTTGTGGCAGGCGCCTGTACTCTCAGCTACTCAGGAGGCTGAGGCAAGAGATCACCTAAGCCCAAGAGCTGGAGGTTGCTGTGATGCTACAGCACTCCATTGAGGAGTAAAATGAGACTCTGTCTCTAAGAAAAAACAAAAAAACACAAAGAAATGGAGTCTTGGTTTTTTCCAGGCTTTTCTTGAACTCATGAGCTCAGGCAATCTGCCTGTCTCTGCCTCCCAGATAACAAGCATGAGCCACCTTACCCAGCCTTTTTTTACTGTTATTTGCATTTGTTTTAATGTTGCATCTATTCCCGTGCCATAAATAGTTTTTTTTTTTTCTTTTTGAGACAGAGTCTCAAGCTGTCACACTGGGTAGAGTGCTCTGGCATCATAGCTCACAGCAACCTCCAACTCCTGGGTTTAAGCGATTCTCCAGCCTCAACCTCCCAAGTAGCTGGGACTACAGGCACCCATCACAAAACCTGGCTATTTTTTGGTTGGAGTTCAGCCAGGGCTGGGTTTGAACCCGCCACCCTTGGTATATGGGGCCGGCACCCTACTCACTGAGCCAGAGGCGCCGCCCTATTTTTTAAATCTTCTTGGAGTTGTCATTGTTGTTTAGCTGGCGCAGGCTGCGTTTGAACCCGCGGTATATGTGGCCAGCGCCCTACCAACTGAGCCACGGGCGCTGCCCCCATGCCATAAGTTTTTGTTTCTTCAGTTTCTTCTGGGACATCTTTTTCTGCTGTGCTACCTCCTCTTCTGTTTGGGAACAATTTATTCCTTTTCAGTAAGGATCATCTTGATGTGGCAGGGGGAGCTCATGTATGGGTTAATGAGACCATGAGCTCTGTTAAGTTCAGCAACGCATCTTGGGTGCATTGGATATGCATAACGACCAGAGAATCTACATCTAAACCCTTAAGTTCAGACATTTTTAAGCATGCACAGTAAAAACTGAGCACTCTTTTTGGGCCAGTGACCCTGTGTCCAGCCCCAGTGTTTGGCCCAGGCACACCTACCAACTCCACTATTGTAACGTCAGAATGGTACACACTGTTTCTTTAAAGTGACATCCTTCGGATACTTGGTGGCTTTTCATATATGCATACCCTTGATGGCTTGGGCAGTTTCATGTGTATTCTTAAAGTGAATGCAAAGATTTGAGCTTCTTGACTTGCATGACTTTGTGGGGTTTTCTGGGTCAAGTGAGTAGTGAACCATTTTCACAGATCACCTGATGCTGCTTAGGGGAAGAGGAAGAGCCTGAAGAGTTTTAATGACAGTACACAAAAACTATACATCGTCTCTCTCTCTTTTTTTTTTTTTTTTTTTTTTTTGTGACAGACTCTTACTCTGTCTCACTCTGTCGCTTTGGGTGGAGTGCATGGCATCATCATAGCTCTCAGCAACCTCAAATTCTTGGGCTCAGGTGATACTCTTTCCTCAGCCACCTTTGTAGCTGGGACTACAAGCATGTGCTACTGTGCTTGGCTAGGTTTTCTGTTTTTAGTAGAGACAGGAATTCCTGAGGTCACACAGTCTACCTTCCTTGGCCTCCCAGAGTGCTAGGATTATTGGTGTGAGCCACTATGCCTAGCCAAGTTATTTAAAGATTCTGATTCAGTTTTTTCAATATGGAAATAAGAAAAACAATAATACTTACTATGTAGGATCATAATGAGGGTTAAATGAGGATATACAGCAATTAAGTCTGGGCTTGGTGGCTCGTGTCTGCTATCCCAGCACTTTGAGAGCCCAAGATGGTAGGATCACTCAAGGCCAGGAGTTTGAGTTTAGCCTAGACATCATAGCAAGACCTCATCTCTAAAAAAAAGAAAAAAAGTAAAAAAATTTAAAAATTACTTCAATTGTAAAGACATGCACCTATAGTCAAGTTACTTGAGAAGCTGAGGTGGCCGGATCACTTGAACATAGGAGTTTAAAGTTACAGTGATCTATGGTACTATGGTACTCCAGTGTGGGCAACAGAGGGAGACCATGTCTCTAAAAATCAACCAATCAGTAATAAATAAATAAATAAAGCAGTTAATAGTGCATCTGGTTCTTTGTGTTTCATGAATGTTAGGTATCATTATCATTTAAGTTTTGTGCCTTTTCCACAAATCTTTGTTGCCTTTTTTACTTAGCATCTTTCTGCTCTGTGAACATTATTATTAAGCTGTCAGTGAAATCAAGTATAATACTTTTTGAATGTTTCAAATCAGGGTTTGTTTTCATTTTATTGGCTGTTTTGTCTCCCTGCTTCTCTAGGTATAGTGAACATAAGTGTGAATAATGTCCAGGAGTTGATTGTTGCAGCAGATATGCTACAGTTGACTGAAGTTGTTAATCTTTGCTGTGAATTTTTGAAAGGCCAAATTGATCCACTGAACTGCATTGGGATCTTTCAGTTCTCCGAGCAGATTGCCTGCCATGATCTTTTGGAATTCACAGAAAACTACATTCATGTCCATTTCTTGGAGGTTCACTGTGGGGAAGAGTTCCTGGCACTTACAAAAGATCAGTTGATCAAGATTTTACGAAGTGAAGAGCTTAGCATTGAGGATGAATACCAGGTCTTCTTAGCTGCAATGCGATGGATTCTTAAAGATCTGGGAAAGAGAAGAAAATATGTGGTAGAAGTGTTAGATCCAATTCGATTCCCTTTATTACCTTCTCAGAGGCTTTTAAAGTATATAGAAGGTAGTGTCTTTGCTATATATCCAATTTTCCAATTAATTATCTAATGACTTTTTCTATGTTTGAGATATCATAGAGTGTTTTCATTATTTGGTTCTAGTAACAGACATTGAATGATTATTATGTGTAAGATACAACTTTTGTGTTTTGTGGGTGGGCAGTAGTATTTTAATATTGCTACCAATTGGCCAGGTGCCTTGGCTCACACCTACAATATTAGCACTCTGGGAGGCCAAGGTGGGTGGATTGCCTGAGCTCACAAGTTTGAGACTGGCCTGAGCAAGAGTGAGACTTCATCTCTAAAAATAGCTGGGGCTCAGTGCCTGTGGCTCAAGTGGCTAAGGTGCCAGCCACATACACCTAAGGTGGCAGGTTTGAATCCAGCCTGGGCCCACCAAACAACTATGGCTGCAGCCAAAAAATAGCTGGGCATTGTGGCAGGCGCCTGTAGTCCCAGCTACTTGGGAGGCTGAGGCAGGAGACTCGCTTAAGCCCAGGAGTTGGAGGTTACTGTGAGCTGTGATGTCTCGGCACTCTACCCAGGGTGACAGCTTGAGGCTCTGTCTCAAAAAATAAATAAATAAATAAAAATAGCCAGGCATTGTGGTGGGTGCCTGTAGTCCCAGCTACTTGGAAGGCTGAAGCAAGAGAATTGGTTAAGCCCAAGAGTTTGAGGTTGCAGTGAGCTATGACACCACAGCACTCTACTCAGGGTGACATAGTGAGACTCTGACTCAAAAATAAATAAATAAATAAAACTTATAAATTGCTTATTTCTGGAGCTTGCCATTTAGTATTTTTGGACCATAGTTAACTATGGCTGACTGAAACCATGGAAAGCAAAACCACAATTAAGGGGGGGAATACTATATTTTGGGGTCACAAATACATTTTAGTAAGTAGGCATATTATAAAAAAGGAATCTGGAAGTAATGAGAATTAACTGTTTATTGATTTATTTATTTAGAGACAGAATGTCACTCTGTTACTCAGGCTAGAGTGCCCTGGTGTTAGCCTAGCTCATAGCAACCTCAAACGCCTAGGTTCAAGTGATCCTCCTGCCTCAGCCTCCCAAGTAGCTGAGACTGTAGGTGTCCACCATGATGCCTGTTTAGTTTTTTTGGGTTTTTTGTTTATTTTCTATTTTTTAGAAGATATGGGAACTTGTTCTTGATCAGGCTGGTCTTAAAACTTCTTAGTTTAAGTAGTCCACCTGCTTCTGCCTCCCAGAGTGCTTGGATTATGGGCATCAGCCACAGCACTGGGCTTTTTTATTTTAAGATAATTTTGATTTTGTTTCACTTTGGAATTTTTTTTTTTTTAAGTTTTTGGCCAGGGCTGGGTTTGAACCCAACACCTCCAGTACATGGGGCTGGCGCCCCACTCCTTTGAGCCACAGGTGCCACCATTCACTTTGGCATCTTTATTTAGAAATTTGTATACATGTATTTTCTTTTTTTTATTTTTACATATACATGTGTTTATTAGCTTTCCACTTTTTGCCTTCACAAAATTAAAAAGGCTTAACATTTAACAACAATAACAATGTTTAAGATAACGACTAGAAACAAAAACTTCATAAAGAATGAAGATAAATACATTCAGAAAAGAAATCAGACTATTGCTATAATGAAGTATTAAGCAATAATAATAACAGTAATGCAAAGAAAGTAACATTCACATTTTCAAATAAGAGTATGTCTATTATATATATATATATATGCTTTTTTTTTCTTTTCTGAGACAGAGCCTCAAGCTGTCACACTGAATAGAGTGCTGTGACATCACAGCTCACAGAAACCTCCCAACTCCTGGGCTCAAGCGATTCTCCTATCTCAGCCTCCCAAGTAGCTGGGACTACAGGTGCCTGCCACAACACCCAGCTGTTTTTTGGTTGCAGCTGTCATTGTTGTTTGGTGAGCCTGGGCTGGATTCAAACCTGCCAGCTCAGGCATATGTGGCTGGTGCCTTGGCCACTTGAGCCACAGGTGCAGAACTGAATATGTCTATTATAAAATGCTTTGACACTGAGGTTCAGTGTGGAGTCATCAATTAACTTATTATTTTTTTTCCAAGGTCTCAAAAAATAGACAACTAATATTTATAAAAGTTAATTTAGGCTCGGCGCCTATAGCTCAACCGGCTAAGGCGCCAGCCACGTACACCTAAGGTGGCGGGTTCGGATCCCCAGC